CTGATACGATGCGGGTACGATGCGGCACAAAGGCATCATGGTATCGGTGAGCATAATGGCAGGGCCAGGTGCACGAAAGGGAGTGGCACAAGTGTCGATCAACTGGGAATGGGGTGGGGAAACACAATTGTGCGGTGTCTGGGGCGGAAAAGGCGGGAATGAGGGTATCTGTGCGGCGGATGTGTAGACTGGACACGTGGCATTGTCACAGCTCAACAGACATGGGTGCAATTGGCCCCCTTGGGCGGCCTGACAGACACCGCTGGCGCTGCCGTTCCCTCGCTGCGGAACGGTGCTGCCAAGAGGCTCTCAATGCCTCTCCAGGTCGCGTCCTTCTGCATCACAACCCTGCGTGCCTTGCTGACATCCCTGGGAGTGCGGTGCAAGGTCCACATGCACTGGTTCAGCCCACAACCGTGGGCAGCAGATGCCAGGCTGCAGGCGGTTTCAACAGCAACACAGCGAGACCCCTGCTACCCAGCCGTGCTGCCATGCCCAGGACAGGCCTCCCCAGACCCTCACACCTCATCAGCCTCACCCTCATACATCCCTCTGAGTGCCACTGGGATGCCACAGCCATCCTACACACCAGCATGGCACACCAGCTGTACCTGCACCGGCGGCGTGGCGGCAGCGGCGGCGGCTCGGGACCCCCTGCTGCTAGCCCTGTTGTCATGCCCAGACCAGACCTCCCCAGACACTCACACCTGCTCAGCCTCATCCTCACACATCCATCTGAGTGCCACTGGGATGCCACAGCCATCCTGCACACCAGCATGGCACACCAGCTGTACCTGCGCCGGCGGCGCGGGGCGGCGGCGGCGGCTCGGGACTCCCTGCTGCCAGCCGTGCTGCCATGCCCAGGTCAGGCCTCCCCAGACCCTTCCACCTACCCTGCCCCACAATTACACACGCCTTGGAGTTTCAATGGCAGTTCAGGGCCAGAATGCTCCCCAGCATAGCACAGCACCAGCTCCGGGAATCAAGATGGCATGCTCCTGCCAGCTTGCTGCCGCTACCCGGGCGGCACCGCATGCATGCTGTCCTGAGCTGGTGTGAGCTTCTGTGC